CCATTCACCCAAATTTAATGCGACGCCGCAATAAGCCACCACCAAATTTATCCCAATGTTAACCTATTATCGCGCCCTCCTTTCCGCCCTTCAGCACCAACCATAAAACCTGTATTGCCCGATGACCTGGTTTTTGCTCCCTGAGTGGGGTCGCATACTGCGTCCTTGTGGACGTACTAGTAAGTCCAGAAACGGAAGGCACTTGCCCTTCCGTTTTTTCCAAAGTGCAGGTCAAAGCCGGCCGAGCATGATTCGAGAGTGTGTCCAAAGTAAGATTCTCATTCGTATAGCATTTTCCTATTCGAGTATGTGGTAAATTTTCCTGCGGCTGAAAAACAGATTATCCTCGAGTTCTTACAGTCAGGGAGCTGCGCAAGGGGTCTACATACCGGAAAGCACACGAGGAACGCTACGGGCTCCGGTGATGAGCCGAATCCCTCGCAGCTGCGTCAGGCAGCCGCACAGGATCGACGAAACACGCGTGTCTGGACTTTTAGCTTCTACTTTTGTTATCAGTATGGCAAATTGCAGATTTTTAATTTCTTCAGGAATTACTCGCTAATTTGGCCTAAATCAGTCTATTTTGGACTTGTGTGCTCTGAATGAAATCTGATGCGATAACTCGGGTCGAAGTCCATCAGCCACAGCGGAATACTCGAGCCATATTCATAAACTGCTAACAGGTAGTCAGTAGTATAAGCAGAGATTGCACAATATACCATACATGACATCACAGCTGTCATGCAGTCGTGTCATGCGGCGGTAAAATGTCGGCTAAGCCCGCGTCGTGGCCTCTAGCTAGTACCCGTTCGGTTAAGTATGGTGCATCGTGCAAACCATGCGTATACTACTGGCTGCTCATTGGCAGTTTATGAATATTACGCGGTTATTCCGCAGTGGCCGATAGACGTCGGCCCAAATATATATATATATATATATATATATATAAATTATATATATATCTGCAGCGACAGAGAATGAGAGGTGGTGAGGCACTGATGAATTTCGGTTCGATGAAGTGCTTATGACCCATCTGGTAGGCCTCAGTGGTGGACCGACTGCGCCAGGTGCGTCTGTGCGCATGTTTGTGTTTCTGGTCTCAGCTGCTGGTGGTCAGGGTTATGATTGGCTGAATGAAGGCAGAATAAGCCCGAAACAGTGCTGTATCAATCTACCCGCATTCTCTGTCGTCCCTCCTTGCTGCTATTATGACTTGGCCGACTTCGGCCTGGTAATTGGTTGCCTGTTCGTGACCTTTGCCACACATACGGAGCTTGTTTGCTTTGTGAAGCCAATAGATCGGTGTTCGCCCATTCCTGATTGATATATATATATATATGAAAAATGCCTGCGAGGGTTTAAGTATGAGCCCCAAGGCACAACGGAACGAGCATGTTCCGTAACCTGATCGGTGAGCGCCCACTATCATAATTAATATTCCCGATCACAACCGACAGGACAACGGGCCCGTGGTTCAATGGTAGAGCGTTCAACTCCATGACCAAAGATCCCGGGTTCGAATCTCAAGTGATCCACACTTGGGGTTGGGTATGATTGGCTGATGACGGCTAATAAGCCAGAAATGGCCATTCCGGTCTCCCTTGTCTTTGTCGGTATTACCTTTCCAACATATATATATACATATATAATATATATATATATATATGACAAATTTCAATCTGAGACTATGAGTCACAAAAAGACTGATCTACTCCGAGTCAGTGATTAATTTCTGAGGAAATTAAAAACCTGCAATTTCAAATCCAAATCCTCTACCAGAAAAGGACACGGTGAACTACGGGGGGGGGCATTGATGGGCGGAACCCCCTACGGCTGTGCCCTGCAGCAGCAGAATGTCAGCAAAACATGCATCTGGACTTTTGGCTAGCACCTGTGTTGCCAAGTATTGTATATCGAGCAATTGGTTAAAAGGTCTGAAGGTGTGTACTGTGCCAGTATCAGCAAACCATGGCGCTCGCAGCCCGGTAAACGCTGGCAGTTCCCTGACACCTGGTTACCTGAAGGTAGATGCGCTTCCGTTCCCTCTGTGTATACTGGTGGTGGGCATGGCTGCCCAGTCATCTTCGTCCTTCTGACTCCTGTTGGGATGTTGTTGTTGTTGTTAGTCAAAAGCCAGGTCATTTGCTGTGTGGACCAGGGGGTTTGGAGTGGAACACCAAGGTGCGGACTCGACCGCGCCATCCACCTGCGCCTTCCCCGCCTCCGGTCGTCTTGACTATGTCTTGACACCGGGCCAAGGAGGAGGAGGAGGAGAGAGTGAGGTAGACGCTGCGCAAGTCCACATTCACCATGAACTAACTCACGCGCACGTCATCGTGTCTGCTTTCCATTGCTGTGGAGCACATGGTGGGCATTGTCGGAAACGACGGTCGAACAGTCATATCGTGCAATCTGCTAGTGTGTTTAATCGTTAAAAATAGGTTAAATCGAAGCCTAAACTTCAGAGGTTCAAGGCTATCGAATTCACTATTTTTTCTGGCTTACTATAACCTACCAGCGGACATCTAGGCCCCTTTAGGGACGAGGTTTTTTTTTTGTTTTCAGACCCGAGCCAAAACCAAACACTAGGCTAGCTACAAGTGTACGTAACCAGTAGTCCAGCCCCACTCTCAATACAGTCAATACACCCAGACATGTGTTTCGCCGGCGCTCTGCTGCTGTATAACGCAACAACGAGGGGCTCGTTCCACCAGCAGATGCTTCGCGCGTCTCCCGTGGGGTTTCTGGCATGCAGTCCAGTTTCTGCCCACGTAGATTACGGTTTCGTCAGAAATAAATGGGAGCCCTCAAAGTAGGCATATCTGAGCCAAATCTTCTTCGTCTCAGCGGGCTAACTGCTTGGCCTTCGTGACTGCAGAGTTCGAGGTGTTCGAGTGAGGACTGTTTCGTGCCAGTCTGACAAACAACACGTGTGTGTGTCTGCATGTCACGCAAGAAACACGCCTGGCCAGCCGTGGTGACCGATCCCATCTCCAGCCGACTTGACTCTGTTTTGCCAGCGGACAGCTAGACCGACCCTGGGTGACCCTCCCTCCCCATCTTCTTGGGCGCTCTCAGCCACGACGCGTTACCTTTGAAGTCTTGACTTAGGAGATTGCCATTTGGCGGGAAACTTACTCGCTTCTCGCGACGCAGAGTCGAGCTGGCTATTTACGTTTTCATTTAGTACAGACTGAACCCGCGGGGGAGGGGTGTTGAAACTAAGACGGGATCCAGGATGATGCATGCGATGACACGAGTACACCTGTCTAACCCTTGTACCAATGGTTACGTGAGAGTCTCGTCTCCGGAGGGGTAAGATCTTGATAGGTCCTTCACCCAATCGACCAAGGGCAAACTTTTCCAGGGAGAGGATGACAGGTTCTGAAAGGATGCCAAATGATGGAGTACCTTGATCTATGCGCTCGAGGACAAGATTGCGACTGCACCCGATTGATGAGACTTTCGTACAGGTTCACATCTGGAAAGAAACGAGGTGGTGGTGGCTGTAGTGGTGTTAGTGGGGAAGGTGCTTGTAGTGATGTTGGTTGTGGTAACAGTGATGCTAGTGGCGGTAGTGGTAGCGTTGGTGTTGGTCGTAGTGGTGCTGGTGGCGGTGGTAATGATGGTGGTTGTGCGGTTGGTAATGGCCTTGTTGGTAATAGTGGTGGCGGTGGTGTTGGCGGTAGTGATAGCAGTGATATTTGTGGTGGTAGCAGTGGTGGTGGTAGTGGCAGCAGCAGTAGTAGTAGTAGTAGTAGTAGTAGTAGTAGTAGTAGTAGTAGTAGAAGTAGTAGTA